CAACCCAGCAAACCCCAAAACAACTGAAAGTGCCACAAGTCTTCACTCCCCTTCTTCTCATCCCTCCCTCACTGACCCATCCCTGATCCAGATCTGCGTAACACCTTAAACATTTTCCCATTTTCCTGCACAGGTTAAAGGGCTAGAGGCTGATCCAGTGAGAAAATCTCTTCTTCAGCAGAGGACATGGGGCAGGGGTGGCAAAGGAAGACTGGAAACCTCACCACCTATGTCTTTTATCTTGCCTCAGTTGCAAATTCACTTCACACTCCAAGAATAGAAACTGTGAACCTGAGAGAGCTGTCCTTTGCCTGCCCCGAGGCTTTGCTGTGTGCGTTGTCCTTCTACAGAACCAGGACATGCCCCTCCGGGACCCACCTCCAGGCCCAAAGGTTGTAGCAGTTGTTTTAAGTCTTGTTTCAGCAAGCACCCAGCAAGGCTGGGCCTTTCCAAGCTAAGGCGTGCCCTCTCCCCTCCAATGCGCCTAAATTTTCCCAGTTAATTCTACCAGAGCAGTCTCTCCTTGGACCTGAAGGCTGAGTCTGAACAGAAACTGCCCATGCAGAACATGGGATGTTTGCCCCTGCTAGAGGTGTCAGGGTAGAGTGAGACCAGATGGGGTGCAGATGGCATCGGGGGGGAAGGGCTTGGTAACAGGAATTGACGCCCCCACACTGTGTTTCCTGGAACTCTGGGTGGAACACAGGGGCCCTTCTAGAACAATGGCTTCCAGTTCTTCCTGACATTTGACTCATTATCTATTTCTCATTCATTCATCATCTGGCACAGGGCTGGATTTGCGGGGCATGGTGGGAGCTCAGAGTTTATCTGGGAAAGTAAACATTGAACTAGTGGTTTACAAGTGTATTTTATTACGGGAGACTTTCAGCAATATAAGAGAGACTTTAACGGAGGCAGGCACCAAGCTGGCCACTAAAGGTAGGGATGGTGAAGAACAGTTATCCAAGGACATCAGCCCTGGGGCAGCAGGTTGAGGCCAAGTCCTGAAGGAGTGGAGTTAAACAGGTGAGGGAGGAAATAGTGTTTCGGGAAGAAAGAAGAGAAACGCTGTTCAGGGAAGAGAGAGAGAGAGAGAGAAGCTGCTCTGTTCCATGCCTGCCCAATAAACTGGAAGAAGACCACCTGATTGGTTGAGTGGGGCCAGAGATGAGGAAGAAAAGAGAAGGTTGGAAACTGCCAGGGCCAGATTGTTGAGCACACTGCTCAACATGGCAAGAGCAACGGGAAATCCTGCAGAGTTTCAAGCAGGGCAGTGACAGGGTCAGATCTGTCTCTCCTACCCGGAGACAGTGGGTCAAGCATTTTGTTGTCCATGGACTGGCTATGGGATGAAGCATGGGCTTCAGATTCAGACAGGCTGAGGCCCAGAAGTCTGCTCTGCCACTCACTGGCTGCACGGCCATGGGCCAGACACCTCCGCTCTCAATCTATGCAATGCAGCTGATCACACCACATGAGGATGCTAATGGGCAGCATTAGTGGATGCTTCCATATCCCAGATACTTCACACATATTAGGCCCTTCATTCCTCACAATGAGTGTCCGATGTAAATGCCACTGCCTTCATTCTATGGGAGACTAAAGCTCAGAAAGGTTATTCTACTTGTTTGAGGTTACAGAGGTCAGATTTGAATCCAGGTCTGTATGAGTTCAATTAATGTCTCTTCTCCTAACCACCATGTCATATTTTAGACTATGAAGTTGTTGTCTAAAAGACTGGGTGCATAGTAAGCACTCAACAAGCGTTTGCTCCCCCCAACCCTCCTTCTACTGTGAGACACCCATGGCCTCACAGGAGCCTCCCCCAGCTACAGATGTCTGCCCCTCAGCCCTGCCAGGCACAGCTTGTCCCCAACCTGGGTCAGCTTACTAACATCTCCATCAGGGCAGGAAGGGAAAGAGCAGACACAAGCGTGCATTTGGAGACTCCTGTGCCGAGCAGCTCCTGTGCTCTGTGACAGTGGGGCCACCAGAGGAGGCACTGCTGTGCCAGTTTGCTTTACCCAAAGACACACCCTGCAGAAGTAACTGAGCTGAGATGATGCTGCTGGCCTTCAGACTACATTACAGGGGACAAAAATCCTCCTACCTTATTCCTTTTTGCGTGACTTTGGAGAAAAAAAAAATCCAGCCAAACCTTATGAGCTTATATTATGCTGACATTTTTATCATCATCCTAGAGGTCCCTGGGGTGAAGGCTCAGGTTTACTATTTTTTGAGACGGAGTCTCGCTCTGTCGCCCAGGCTGGAGTGCAGTGGCCGGATCTCAGCTCACTGCAAGCTCCGCCTCCCGGGTTCACGCCATTCTCCTGCCTCAGCCTCCCGAGTAGCTGGGACTACAGGCGCCCGCCACCGCGCCCGGCTAGTTTTTTGTATTTTTTAGTACAGACGGGGTTTCACCGTTTTAGCCAGGATGGTCTCGATCTCCTGACCTCATGATCCGCCCGTCTCGGCCTCCCAAAGTGCTGGGATTACAGGCTTGAGCCACCGCGCCTGGCCAAGAAGAAAAAGTCTTAACTGTATGGTATGAGAAGTCAGACCTTAGGCAGAAGGAATCCCATATTCCCGGACAGAACACAGAAGGATCTTAGGAGGCAACGCCTGGCTTGCACCGTGGGACATGGAGATGTTTGCAGGGCCTGGATGTTTGGAGCAGATGTTCTGTGTCCCATAAACCATGCAGTATAGGGGACTTGTCCTGGCTGAGATTGCTCTCCTATCCTAGTCACAGGCGTCCTGCAGGACGGGGAATGGGAAGGAGATACCAGTGTCAGGTACAGAGGAAAGCCTGGGTGGTCCTTGCCTGGTCTTGGCCGGGGACCTGTGTCTTTCTTTATTCTATGTCCCAGGCTACCCTCTGCTTCACATTGAGGTCACTAGGTGGGGGGAAGCAGGGACAGAAGGCCAACAGAGGGGAGGGCCCCAGGGCAGATGTGGAAACTGCTGGCCAAAAGGAGAGATAATTTGACTCAGAGGAACCTTTCCTGGAAGGAGACAAAGCTCCCCCAGCTTCCTCTGGAAATTGCTTTGTTTAAAATGCAAAGTGCGGATGTGTTTAGACGACATCTCAGCATCCATCACCCTATGCAAATGCTGACCCTGGGGGAGAGGAGCCCCTGTAAGTCACTCCAATCCCCTAATCGAGTGTGTGTGGGTGATGACAGGCCAAGGGAGTGGCCTAGGGCCAGGCGACAGCTCACCACCCAAGAGAGGCTTGATAAGGACTGAAATGGGAGGGAGTCCAGCCCTGGGGGGCGGGTCCACACCTGCATCATCCCCGGGCTAGCTGCTCTTGGATGCAGGATGCCAGCTGCTGCTGTAGGTGACTAAGGACAGAGCTCTAAACAAGTTGCTGCTGGACCTAGCTGCCTCAGTTGCAGATTCACTTCACACTCACACAGACAGTGAATTAACAGCCCTTCCCCTGAGCAGGAGGATGCCCCTTACCTGAACACTCTGAAACTGGGAAAAGGGTGAAATTGATTACCTGATTGGGAGTGGGGCTCTTCAACCCAAGCTGCCATTTGAGATCTCAGCCCATCCCCATGAGACAGCCTTCCACCTGTGTCCCAGACTCGGCTTGGACACCTTCGGTGACAAAAACCCATTGTCCTGGGAGGATGTCCAGATAAAATACAAGATGCCCAGTTAAATTTGAATTTCAGATAAACAATTAATAATGTTTTAGTATAAATATGTCCCAAATATTGTATGGGATGATTTATTGTTTATCTGAAATTCAAATTTAACTGGCTGCCCTGTTTTTTTGTTTTGTTTTGTTTTTTGCTAAATCTGGCCAACTATATACCCTGATCAATCCATTCCCACTTTTTTGTATATGTTTAATCATCAAATAATGGATTGGGTCCACTTCTCTGCCTTTCATATCTTCCCATCTTCTCTATCCTCCATCCTGGTCCTGCTTTCTGGGCCATATGAGGCAAGCTGTACCCTTCTTCTACCCACAACCCTTTGAGAATGGAAACAGACTCTCAGGTACTCACAGGTTCCCTGATTCTGAGCTCTCAAACTGTCCTCTGGTTGCTTCCCGTGTATCAACTTTAGGTTGGATTCAGGAGCCTGAGACGGAACTGAATAACTTGGCAAGTCAGGTAGTAATCTCTTCCAGAGGCTATGTCTTTGGTGGCGCAGGGGGCTTAGGGTGCACCAGTACAATAAAACATGCTTACAACCACCCCACCCACACTCACCCACCCCCGCCAAACACTTGGCAGACTTGACTGGAAAATGCCATGAAGGACTAGAAGCTGATCCTATAAGTAAAATTTCCTCTTTAGCAGAGAATGTGGGTTGGAGGGCGTAGAAGAAGATTGAAAACCTTACCACCTATATCTTTTATTTTGCTTCAGTTGCAAATTCACTTCACACTCAAAGAACAGAAATCACCCGGACTTCAAGAGAGTTGTCATTCTACAGAACCAGGATATGCCAGAAAGGGCCACGAATGATACAAAACATCAATGCAGAGGAATTAATTAGGCAGAACAGTGCGTTTTGCACATGAGTACCATTCACAATTAGGTCTTCTGCCAACCCAGAGTACAGGTGAGTGCGGTCCTAATTTTCAGGTAGCCAGCAGATCTTTCTCCTAAGCTCTGTACAGCCATCTCCACAGAAGTAGCTGTGGGGACCTCTTCAATGTGCTAAGCATCGATATGGAGCTGCTGCCTTCAAAGGTACAGCTGCAGGTAAGGGTACAACTCTGAAGACCATATTAAGCCACCAGTCGCAACTTACATGGAAACTGCTACCTCTCCCCAGTAATGAATTAATAACCCAACCAATAGGAAGAAGATAATTTTCAAGCAATTCTCAGTTGCAGAAACAAATTTTAGGGGCTCCATTCATTTACAATATGGATAACTTCATGCATCAAAATATGTAAGGAGCCAAATGCCAGTGGGGTAAGGAAGGGTTTTCTCAACAGCATTCTCTTGTGTTTCAGGTATAGGTCTTACCTTTTCAGGGATAGTGGCCACATAGTTCGCCATGTTCCCAGCAGTTATTCCAGAACACGGTAGGTTCCCAATTTCCTGAGGACATACAAAGATGAGACTTTGTTTACCAGTTTCCTTTATTTTGATCCGTAATCCCATCTTTCCAAGTTTTATACTTTTGGTATGTTTTTTGATCATGGTTATGGTGATTTCTCTCAACACAATGTCTACTTCTCCTTGAAGGTCAAGGAGGGAAATAGACAGAGCCCAGAGGTGACCAGTCATGGTTCCTCAAGACCTGCAAAGAAGAGTACAGGCTACCAGGTAAGTCCCAAGTGTCCTCTGGAGGGGTCCATGCTGCTGACCCACCTCAGCCCTTCTTCTGCTCCCCCAGCCCTCACTGGCCCACTCGAGTTTATTGCATCAGCCCCCACACCCTCAGTGCCACCTAAGACCTTACCACCAAGACAACAACTCTGGAATCTTCCATAGGCAATAAATACATGCTGATCAAATGAATAGATCAGTAAACCTCTTGTCTCTTTCCATTTCTTGGCCATACGAGCAGCAGAAGAACCTGCTTTTATTCCTACAGTTCTCAGTCTGCCAGGGGGTCAGTTTGGGCCCTCCAGTAGGCAGATGCTGAGACGGAGTTAGGAAGACATTTATTGGGGGAGGGTGTAGTGTGTTGAATAATCTCCCCCAAAATTCACAACCATCCAGAATTTCTAATTATTTGGAAATAGAGTCTTTGCAGGTATAATTGATTAAAGATCTCCAGATGAAATCATCCTAGATTTAAATCATCCACATGGAGCTGCCTTCAAAGGCACAGCTGCAGGCGCGAGTACATTTCTAAATCCCAAGATAGTGTCCTTGTAAGAAGAGAAGACACAGAGAGACACACAGAGAAGGGGATGTGAAGATGGAGGCAGAGACTGGAGTGATACAGCTCCCAGCCAAGGATCACCAGCCATTTCGAGAAGCTAGGCAAGAATCATGGAATCAATTCTGCTTCTGAACCTCCAGAAGGAAACAACCTTGTCAACATTTTGATTTTGAACTTCTGGCCTCCTGAACTGTGAGAGAATAGGTTTCTATTCTATGGTTCAAAACCACTCAGGGTGTGGTAATTTGTTACAAAGCCCTGGGAAGGGAACACAGGAAGTAACACCTACAAAAGCAGATTGGACAGGGAGAGTGTCAGGCTATGGCCCAGTCTCTCCCAGATCAATTCTTCTACTTCCCCTTTATCATTCACAGGTTAACCCTTTACCCCCGACTCCCAACTCCTATAAAATTCTTGCTCTCCCAACTCCATCTCAGCCTATGACTGCCATGAAACCTCTATTGACACAGTCTTGGCTGCCTCAGTAGGGCGCTCTGGGCAAACACTGTCCATCGGGGCAGCCCTCCCTCCGTCTTGACCCTGCCTCACCCATCCCAGCCTGGGCTTTGCTCCATCGTGACTTCCTCTCTCTTGTACCTCCAGCCTTGCCATTCCACTGGCTCCTCCCCTCTCACCACCAAACCAACTCAAATACAGTAGCTCCTCTTCCAGCTGTGACGTCTTCTCTTTCTGTTGTTAGCCATGTGTTTTTCCCAAGATATTTGTTGTTTCTGTTGTCTTTTCCCCACTCACTCCTCATCCAGGCCTCTGTCTTCCTCCATCCTCCATCCAGCTGCCCTGCTCTTTCAAAGGTCCTCCACACTCCCTTCCCCAGCCTTTCTGATGTGTGGTTCTCTCTGGGCATGACTGTGTTTTGTGTTTTATACCCTCTGCCTAGGACGCTACAGTTGTTTCTTTGCTGGAAGATAGGTTCCTTGAAGGGAAGAACTTGTCTTATTGATGTTTTTTGTTTGTTTTGTTTTGTTTTACCACCCAAAGCCTCAAGCACAGTACTTTGCCCAGATGAACTGCTCAGCAAATGTTTAAGAGTTGAGTTCAACAGGGATATCCCTTGGGCTTCTAGGAACCAATAGGTGAGAGTTTCCTCTGGGGTACATACAAGAGGGCTCCTCTCAGTGGCAGGGGGATCAGGCAAATAGGGAGGTTGGATTGAATGTGGGGGCTGGGAGAGAGTGAGAAGGAAGAGGGAACAGGCGGAGGGTGCCAGCTCTTACAAGAGGAAGATAAATGATAACAGCACTGGGAACAAAACCAAACATCCTTCATGTTGTCAGAGCAATGAAGCCAGCACATTGCAAGTCATGGGCCCCAGACAGTGCCTTGCTTTTGGAAAAGGCTCGGGTTCTTAGTCCCCTTCTGCTCTCAGTGAACAGCACAATTCATCTTCCTTGGGGTGTCTCCTGAAACTGTGGGTAGATGGTACCCTGGGGTTGGCTAGAGGGAGGGGAGTCAACTTGAGCCAGCTGTCCTTCTCAACTTCCCCTCTCTGCGTCAACAGTGGTCTTATGTGACTCCCTGGGTCCCTTCTGTGTCCCGGGTCAAGCAGACAGGGCTGGCTTCCATGTGCGTTTAGTGGGTTTTGTCCCATCCTCTTTCATAGAGCACTAAAATATTAATGATGCTCTAAGAGGAAGCAAACTGAAACACACCAGCAGGGGGTGCTGAGAAGATCCAAGAGACTTAGCTGTTGCATAATTTCTTGCTTTGAATGCAGATAGAGCATGAAGAAGAAGCCCTGCTCTGAGAGTCAGGGAACCTGCCTGAATTTGGAGCTCTGCTTTGCCACTGAAGAGCTAAGGAGCCAAGTCAGTCACTTAACCTCTCTGGGTCCTAATCCCTAACTTAATGGGTTGACCAAATGGACTTCAAGTTACCTTCTAATTTTTTCACTGTTATTTCTTCTTTTTTTGGGGGTGGGGAGTGAGTCTCACTCTGTCATCTCACTGCAACCTCCACCTCCCAGGTTCAAGCGATCTTCCTGCCTCAGCCTCCTGAATAGCTGAGCTTACAGGCACGAGCCACCAGGCCCGGCTAATTTTTGTATTTTTAGTAGGTACGGGGTTTCACCATGTTGGCCAGGCAGGTCTCGAATCCATGACCTCAAGTGATCCGCCTGCCTCGGCCTCCCAAAGTGCTGGGATTACAGGCCTGAGCCACACTGTTCGGCCCACTCTTACTCTTTATGCAACTCAGTAGAGGACATCTGTGGTTTTCCTGAGGGCAGCATCCCTTTCCCTCCTTATGAGGAGGGAAGTCCTCACACTCACTTCTCTCTTCCCTTTCCACTGGGTGGCAAAGAGGCTGCCAATCATGCTGCTCCCCACCCACATGGGTGGGGCTAGGATGCAAACTCTGCCAATCAGACTCAGGGACAGGGTCACATGTTGGCAACCCCTTAAAGGACCTGCTGTGGTTCTGGCTACCTAGCTTCCCAGGTTCCTGCATTTCCTAAGGTCAGATTGTTCATCTCTCTAATAAAATCCCCTTTCCTCCAGCATTAATGTCTGGTGATTGTCATCAATGACCTTGATAGCTTTCTGTTAGCATCGTGAATCCAGAAAGTGTCTCTAGACAAAGCGAGAGGCTTGTCAGCCGAACTACCACCCAGCTGGGAGGCTTTCAGTAGAAAAACAGGGACCCGTATTGTGGAGCCTCACTGCCTGTTTTCTGTGAGAAAAAGGCACGTGTCCAGAGAGTGGGGATCCCTTGGAGAATTCTGAGAGAACCCTGAGGTCCTCTGAGAACATGCCATGCACGTCAGTGATTCCTAGCATTTCACACCAAGTGAATTCCTCCGTGCCCACGCCCAGACATGTGAGGCACCTGTAACCTGAATGACGCTCCCCATCCCAGCATGCGGAGCGGGAGGCAGATAAGTCAGCAGTTCACATAACCTCAGTAACTGCCCATGATCCAACACTGTTTGTCCAACAGCATTTAACAAGTCAGTAAGGACATAGCCATTGGGTGCCCTCCATGGGCTTATATAGCAGCCCTTGTCCACAAGGAACCCTTAACAAGTGTGTTATTGAATGTCTGTGCCCTTGGGAAGTTGGAAATAAAAGAATTTGAACAAGACAGGAGGTCAGGGCTTTACCTGGAAAGGATTTGGGTGTAAAAATGATGACTGCAGGGGCTGGGCGTGGTGGCTCACGCCTGTAATCCCAGCACTTTGGGAGGCCGAGGCAGGTGGATCATGAGGTCAGGAGACCAACCTGGCCAATATGGTGAAACCCCGTCTCTACTAAAAATACAAAAATTAGCTGGGCGTGGTGGTGCACGCCCGTAGTCTCAGCTACTTGGGAGGCTGAGGCAGGAGAATTGCTTGAACTCAGGAGGCAGAGGTTGCAGTGATCGTGCTACCAAACTCCAGCCTGGGTGACAGAGCGAGACTCTGTCTCAAAAACAACAAAAAAAACCCTAATATATTCAAAATGTATGATATCACAGTTATTTTGCTTAGGAAGAGATTAAAGTAGGCACATAAGGTTAAAAAGTGAGTTTGTTTAAATGAAGATATTACATAAATAACAATACAGGTGGGAGGTGGAATTGGTGAAATTCATGACTATGGAGCTGGAATAAGTAAAGTTGGGTAGCACTTGTGTAAGAGAAGCCTGGAGGTCCACCCCCACCCTCCCCGCAGCCACCCTGTCTTTCTTCAGCATACTTGGGTGAGGAACCTGTCTTGAGACTGTGAGCTCCTCCAGGCAAGGCCTGGGTTTTGTTCATGTTGAATCCTCTGTGTCTAATGCAGAGCCAGCAAATAGGAAGTATTGACAGCTTGAATGATAGCTTTAGGCCCTGCCTTGTTCTAGAAAATAATTAAAGCAGTCAACATGGAGCTGACTTGCACAGAAACAAAGCATGACACAAGTTCAGGCCTGTCTTTCACAACATGCTCATCCTGTCCAACGGATCAATCTGTCTACTTGATAGGTAGCTTAATACCACCCCCGCCGTCTACTGGCATTCCTCCCCATTGCCCTGCCTGGGTCAGACCGCAGATATCTCTCACCTGAATTACTGTCTGCCACAGTCTACTAACTGTTCTCCCCATCTCCAGTCTTTTCCCATCCAAGTGATTTTTTTTTTCATGCAACAGCCAATGGGTGGCTTCCAAAATGTGGCTCAAGCCCCTGATGGCTTCCCACTACAAACACAGTCTTTAGAATGACAGGCAAGGCCTTT